TATCGTAATTACCGCCCTTTGTATATGCTTGTGTGGCTCTCTGACCTGACAGTAACTATGGTCGTTATTACCGCCCTTTTTATATGCTAGTGTTGCTCTCTGACCTGACAGTAACAATGCTCGTTATTACCTCCCATTGTATATGCTAGTGTGGCTCTCTGACCTGACAGTAACAATGTTCGTAATTACCGCCCTTTGTATATGCGTGTGTGGCTCTCTGACCTGACAGTAACTATGTTCGTAATTACCGCCCTTTGTATATGCTAGTTTGGCTCTCTGACCTGACAGTAACAATGTTCGTTATTACAGCCCTTTGTATATGCTAGTGTGGCTCTCTGACCTGACCGTAACAATGTTCGTTATTACCGCCCTTTTTATATGCTAGTGTTGCTCTCTGACCTGACAGTAACAATGTACGTTATTACCGCCCTTTTTATATGCTAGTGTGGCTCTCTGACCTGACCGTAACAATGTTCGTTATTACCGCCCTTTTTATATGCTAGTGTTGCTCTCTGACCTGACAGTAACAATGTACGTTATTACCGCCCTTTTTATATGCTAGTGTGGCTCTCTGACCTGACCGTAACAATGTTCGTTATTACCGCCCTTTTTATATGCTAGTGTTGCTCTCTGACCTGACAGTAACAATGTACGTTATTACCGCCCTTTTTATATGCTAGTGTGGCTCTCTGACCTGACGGTAACAATGTTCGTTATTACCGCCCTTTGTATAGGCTAGTGTGGCTCTCTGACCTGACAGTAACTATGTTCGTAATTACCATTACCGCCCTTTTTATATGCTAGTGTGGCTCTCTGACCTGACAGTAACAATTTTCGTTATTACCGCCCTTTTTATATGCTAGTGTGGCTCTCTGACCTGACAGTAACTATGTTCGTAATTACCGCCCTTTGTATATGCTAGTGTGTCTCTCTGACCTGACAGTAACAATGTTCGTTATTACAGCCCTTTGTATATGCTAGTGTGGCTCTCTGACCTGACGGTAACAATGTTCGTTATTACCGCCCTTTGTATATGCTAGTTTGGCTCTCTGACCTGACAGTAACAATGTTCGTAATTCCCGCCCTTTGTATATGCGTGTGTGGCTCTCTGACCTGACAGTAACAATGTTCATAATTACCGCCCTTTGTATATGCTAGTGTGGCTTTCTGACCTGACAGTAACTATGTTCGTTATTACCGCCCTTTTTATATGCTAGTGTGGCTCTCTGACCTGGCAGTAACAATGTTCGTAATTACCGCCCTTTTTATATGCTAGTGTGGCTCTCTGACCTGGCAGTAACAATGTTCGTTATTACCGCCCTTTGTATAGGCTAGTGTGGCTCTCTGACCTGACAGTAACTATGGTCGTTATTACCGCCCTTTTTATATGCTAGTGTGGCTCTCTGACCTGACAGTAACTATGTTCGTTATTACCGCCCTTTGTATATGCTAATGTGGCTCTCTGACTGACAGTAACAATGTTCGTTATTACCTTCCTCTTTATATGATAGTGTGGCTCTCTGACCTGACAGTAACAATGTTCGTTATTACCGCCCTTTGTATATGCTAGTGTGGCTCTCTAGCATCAACCGGCTTATTACCAGGGTTTTTTTTATGTTTCAGAGAGTCCCTCTATACCGATCACAATTTTAGCTGCTTTATCTGTTGGCCTGGCTGTTATCACTCTACTACTCGTTAATCCTTACAGCTGTCCATGTGGTATGTTTCAGACTTTTTTTATAATCTAAATTTGGCGTAATTCAAAGAGACAGTGAAGACACTGTCAATAACGACTTCCTGAAAATTCGTCACACACACACCCATACTCACACTCCCTAACACCCACACACAACCAAACACACACCCTCCCTCTCACACACCCAACTATACTCACACTCCCTAACACCCACACACAACCAAACGCACACCCTCCCTCACACACACACCCATACTCACACTCCCTAACACCCACACACAACCAAACGCACACTCTCATTCACACTCACGCACACACATACTCACACTCCCTAACACCCACACATAACCAAACGCACACCCTTCTTGACACACACACACACACATACTCACACTCACTAACACTAATACAACCAAACGCACACCCTCACTCACACACACGCACACACACATATTCACACTCCCTAACACCCACACATAACCAAACGTACACCCTCACTCACACACATACACACACACTAACACTCCCTAACACCCACATACAACCAAACGCACACCCTCCCTCTCTCACACACACACACACATTATCACACCCCCTAACACCCACACACAACCAAACGCACACCCTCCCTCACACACACACACATACTCACACACCCTATCACCCACACACAACCAAACGCACATCCTCACACACACATACACACATACTCACACACCCTAACACCCACACACGACCAAACGCACACCCTCACTCACACACACGCACACACATACTCACACTCCCTAACACCCACACACAACCAAATGCACCCCTCCCTTACACACACACACACACACACACACACACACATAATCATAATCCCTAACACACACAAACAACCAAACGCACACCCTCCCTCACACACACATACTCACACTCCTTAACACCCACACACAACCAAACGCACACCCTCCTTCACACACACACAGAAACCCCGCACGAACGTGCTTGAATGCATGTTTTTATTTATTTATCAGTTTCAGTTTTATAAATAATTTAATTATTAAGTGAGATATTTGTATTCTCTGCTTCCTTTCGAGTACATTGCAATGGACACACTCACTCACTCACATACTCACAGCTGTACGATGATGATGATGATGATGATGATGATGATGATGATGATGATGATGATGATGATGATGACAGTTTGATGGTAGCATGGTGCGTTATATAAGTTCAGTCTCTTAAATCTAGAGAACTTCACGAAGAAATTATACTAAAAAGCGAACTGCCAGTGGTCATCTTAATATTTGTTGTTGCAGGAAAACCTAAGATTAAACTTCACAAGAACTTTAGAAGGATTGTTGTTACGATCTGTTTGCTTGGTATTATCGCTGTCGGTATTGCGGTTTGTGTGATTACCAATCTCGATTACTGCAGCACATGTAAGTCGTAAAACGATTTATTATTAATATTTTGTAAATAGAAATCTTTGATGTTATTGGAAGATAGCCTCCCAAACTTTTGTCTTTAGTGCGAAAATTGGAAAACCAAATCTGACCTGCCATTCGTATTTCTAATAAATCTATCTCGGCGATGAATAACTGTTCACCTTTGGTCAGTTGGTATAACCATACAGAAAGTCTTACTTGGTTTTTCCAATTTCCTTTAACAGAGGATCAGGATAACATTAGGTGGATTGGCTCCCAATCTATGGTCAATTTTATTTGTTAAGATTTATTTTACATCAAATTCACACATCACAGAGGCCCATAATTGAAATATTAAATGCTTCCAAATTAGATCAAATAAAAAAGTATCAACGTCATTTCAATAAGAATATTTGCATACGATTTTTTGCTGATTTCTTTTTTAGTTTTCAAATTTTACATCACGGTTTGAAAAGTTGTACTGACCAATAAATATATTTGTTTGTATTAAATGATAACCAAACACAGAATTATTCCATCAGATATGTGTATTACCAGTATTTATAAATGTAAGGAGATTCCTCTTAAGGATATATCAACAGATCATTATTCAGTTGGAAACCGGCCTGCATGAGTTTTTAAGAACTACTTATGTGTACAATCTGGCTAATTGCAATGAATTATCAAGAACATATCACAGACTATGTAGTAAGTGAGTGGGTGTTACAATACGAAAAATATTGTGGTTAAGTAATAAAAGATCACAATGAATTACAATGAACATTTTTTCTGTTTCATGCTACCATAGTGATGAACATCATCTTCGTAACAGAGAAATCTAGCCCCAAAACAATTAAAATCGCTGCAATGGTGACTATATCTATAAAATTATTGGTAAAAATACGTCCGTATTTATTATATCATGGCAACACATTTGAAAGCGAGTTTTTTGTTTTTTGTTTTGTTCTGTAGATTGTTATAATAAATATACATCCATATGTTATATCAATGGTGCATGTACGGTCATTACTATCGTAGAATGTAAGACTTTTATCTTCTATGCTGTAGACAAACCAACATCCGAATCTTGAGAACCTTGGTGAACTACATCCACTTGGTGAACTACATCCACTTGGTGAACTACAACCAATAAATGAACAACAACAACGTGGTGATCAACAGTTTGTTTGTTATGTGATTTAAGGATCCCCAACTAATGCCACAAATCTAATGAATGGTTGGAAGCTGTTTTTGACTACTGCTTTGATAAACCATTTCTGAAAAAAAACATACCTTGCAAGGCTTTTATGAGAAAAACATATAGACGGCATAAACAAAGTGAAATCGACAGCACTGTTTAGAGATTAAATTATATCAGCAGGGCTAGACCGAAATTCGAGCCCCGGACTTCAGATTGATATACCACCGCTCTAACCAATTGCGCTATTGGTCAATAGAAGTGTATTGGGTCCATTGTGCTACTACATTATATCCAAACGGAAATTAAGGGGAGGTTACTGAATACAGGCAAAAAAACACAATCCTTGATGTAAAAGCCAGTTAGCAAAAAACATTGTTCTATACACCCATTTTACTAGGTTACAATTTTTTAGTCATCTTTATCAACCTGTATTTGCAAACATTTGCTTGTGAGTTGTGATAAAGTTTAGGTTTGCTTATGAAATGCATTTGGTTCTACACTTTTAGATGGTTTTGATTATGATCGCCTAATTCTAATTTCGATGAATTATCACGTATAAAAATTAACCTAATATGAGATGTCAGCAACGAAGTATCATTTTTACCATGTATAAATATAGTGCTGTGAGATTTGTACTTTGCCTTCGACATTGCCAACAGAACAGTCAGTCACTTGAACATTTTTCATATATCAAATATACCAGATAGCATACATGTGTCCATTAATGATTCAGTATTTCTTCTTAATAACAAATACCTTGAATAAGCAAACTGTGATATTATCAAATGTCTGTAATTCACAGGCAAAGAAGTTTCGATTAATTAAAATATTGAAATGTTTTTCTCTGTAAAAGACAGCATAATGATATGTGAATATTTATCCTTGTTATTTTAAACGAAATAAATATAGTCTTCCGTCACTGGTATGTGTTACCTTCTGTTTTCATACAATAATTAGTCTAAGAAACTGTTTCTTCTATGGAACCTTTGACTTTTCGACTCTTTGCACTACCATTCCTAATACCAATCTGAAGAAACGCAAACGCTCTTTTGTTATGATGGCTTTCTTTTCAGAAAAGGCGTACGGAGCGTATTTATATATTTGTAAGACCAAGACCAATTTTCTCCAACCGCTTTTTCTCGATCTTTACTTACAACATGACCAACAGGGACGGTTACCTACTAAGCTGTCCGATAAGCGGTACGATTTCGACTTTCCTATACTGAGCCTTCCCTTTCTTGATAGCAACACCAATGCCTCCCTACTACGACATTTACATGTCGCCGTTAATTCGGCACTCAAGAGCGTGGTACGAGTATCACGACTTCCGTGATAAATGTCGGCCGTTGACGAACAAACTTATTAGAAATGTTTTCAAAGAAACGTTGAAGAATTTGGATGAAATTTATGGTCGCCGTCAGGATTTCACAGAGAAATATGTTATGTACCTACATATTACATAGCGTAAACATGTAATGGTTCTTGTGTGGGCTTTGACCCCTTCAACCTGTCGGTCAAACAATGTATTAATATTTTCAAGTGGATTCCGTTTCATTGAAATATGACCAAATACAATGTAATAAGTGCCTAATGGTGCTGTAAAAGACATATTTCACGGTAAAGCTATTTGTTTTATATTCGGACGGTCCTTCGAAATAAGTTTATTCGTACTCCTTGCAATTATTGTTGAATCATTAAAAATAAAATCACAGGCAGAATATACATTCAATGAGTCGCAATTTGTCCACAATAAACTACAAAATGTATAATAAAAAAAAACAGTTGTGCCTTCAAATATGTTATAAGAAACGATTTAGTTGCCTCCATCAAAAGGCTTAAACATTTATCTCCGACACGCCTGTCAAGCCTTCGATTGAAGATCTCAGGGAAAAAAATCTTCTTTTTATATATTGTAGTAAAATGTCTCTGTATTAATTAAATCAATATAGATCGTGCATAATATAATGAACTTGTAAAATAAAAAGTACTAGCTTTATTGCCATTTATTAACTTTATTATCCTAAGTTTGTATAAAAAAAAATGTATTTCAATTTCATCGAAATCTTGTATCAATAAACATATTCGCTATTGAAGGTAGAATGCTAATTAACCTTCCCTCTACATTCAAAACATCTTGACACTTAAGTTCATATTTTTGTTTACAGATAGGGCGTGTCATTACGTTATGTATTTCTATTGTTCAGAATGCAGTTGTGCTGACAGACAAAACATATAATGCTCTTTCAGCTGCCAATCCATACAATTACCGAAACTTTTTACTACCATTTTGTGTACCAATCTGATCAGGATATCAATCGTATTATGACTCTTTATACTTCAGATGGGGAATTGATAGATTGTGGATTTTGAGGTATTTCTGTTATATATATCTTCAACATACTATCTAAACAATGTTGGTTTTACCAGATTATTTGTACTTTCTTCTCTCTGCCTTGCCGTATTGTTTATCAACAGAAATATTTTGCTCGTGAAATCGTGAGAATTAAGGAGTATCACACTGTGTTTTCATACTTAGTCGTGAAAACAATTTTCGCATCGCGAGCACGAGATTTTATCAACATGTGATAAACTGTTTATCATCGATATACCACTACCTTATATATTTCTCGTTTAAAAAAGGTCAACTGAACACAAAATTTTCCAAATGACTTCTCAGCTCAATGATCATCGATCGCAAAACCTCGGTCTGTGAAACAATCCAAACGCCATTGGCTTTTTCCATATGCACATTTACGCTTTAAATGTTGTTGTCATCCTTAGAACATTTCTTTCGTAACTGTACATGTATTTGTTTATGACGTACTGTTTTCTTACGCTGATCACATAGGGTGTTAATCATACTTCCAGTTCGTCACCTGGCGTGAGTAGACATTTTTTTTTCTGAGAAAATAAGTTACCAAATGCCGGAAAATGGGAAAAGCCGTTCTCAAGCTGTCCGCCAGCTGTCCTCTGCTCGTTATCAACTTCTTGTTGACTATTATCAAACTGACAACCCATGATATTGAATTGATCATGCTACCGGTAAGAACATGTATAATAATGTTTAGTGTAGAGTACAGATTATAATGATTGATCCCTTCACTGGCAATATTTCGTTAGGTTCAGTGGCCAGATTTTGCAGGAGATTAGACCTTCCTAAGTGAAAAAAACCAATATAGATACTTTTTTTCATTAGAACATGAAATTAATAAAGAACATATCAGGACTGAGGTCAGACATTTTGCTAAGTTCTTCATAGTTACGATCTGATTTTCAGTTTATCGACGATGTGCTATATATAACTAATAAGACAATCAAACCTTCCGTAACTTGAAATTAAAAAAACAATAAGCTCTCCTACATCCGCTGCTTTTAATTGATCTTTATTAACAACTTGCATGGCTAACACAAACACCTTACTTCTAAGCTGTTTTAGAAGCGGGACGGTTTCGATGGTCCGATCATGAATTGTCCTGCTTCTACAATCAACGATGTTCTTATGGCATTTGATTCAATATTCATTAGCTCACTTGGCATATCACGACTTTTCGTATGGTGTAGGTTGATTAAGAGTATGTGATTTCATAACGAAATATTCTTGTCTTATGTGATGTTATTATTTTTGTAAATGTCCTAAATGGTAAGGACTATATTCATCATACTGTCAATGCTGATAAACCGAAACTATAAAGACACGGTTTGTAAAAATCATCCATAGAAAAAATATCTATTAATTCAACCTTTTGTAGCAACACATTTAAATCGCACTGATCCCGATAAATATTGATGGCGCTGATCGCAAAAAAAACTTTAAACTGACATTTTATTTGAAAGGGGTTGACAGTTAGAAAGGAACAGACTAATGCTGGCATCTGGTATCCTGAGGTTTTACATACGGGTTTTTTGTTGGGTGCTCCATTTTGGTAATGTTTCCCTGTAATACAGAAAACATGATTAAGGTTAAAGACGGTGCATGTATACATTGATAATGATAATAAAAAATAATACACAGCATTTGATATAGCGCCCTACCTAGCTGATGTAAGCCACTCTAAAACACTTTACAGTACATAGAACATACAATTTATACAATAAACATATACATTAATCAACACATATTTTTTAGAAGTCGCAGGAGCTGCCTTACATAATGTATCAGCCACTTACTACTAGTCCTATGCAACCTGGCTAATATCGCCCTATGTGTGCACACTTGCGTGTGTGCTGGCGATGAGTTTTTTCTTTCCTTGTACGATATGAAGGTCGACATTTTTACTTTGATAGTTAGAGTGCCTGTGGTTTTGTAGTCACTACCTGAATTCTCGATTTCAGGTATTGGCACTTCTCGGATCCGACTTTGATTTACATGGCGGGTGTCATTAATAGAGCAGAGATGCCTTCTAGAGCACCTGGTCTTAACCTCCTTGTAATTTTTCAAGGGTCTCTTTTTAAAGTTTTTCTCTTATTCATGCATTAGTTTTATCGATTTTGAGTTCGAAATATGGTTTTGATAACACTTCAGTAATCCCTTGGGTTTTTAAGAGTAAGATAAGCTGTTGAATTGATGCAATTATTTTACAAAGAATGACAAACCCCGTTAAACCTCATGGAGACGTTTCATGTTGGTGATGATATATTTAAAAATGGGCAATTTATTTGTCGAGATAATGGAAATAGCGTATAGCTGTGAAGCTACTCGTGGTCCCATACTTCAATTTGAGAAAAGGATAAGCTACCCTTGTTTGTGCTAAGTATATGTGACCGAGCGATATTTTCATTGTCTTTGAACAACTCTTACATTAAATGCGTCAGTGTCTCCCAAGAGGTAATGGTCATACAGCGAGTTGTCTAGCGCTGACCGGATGTTAGCTCTAACTGCCGGATCGGTCCAGTTCCATGACTTGAGCACAGGAAACAGTATATCAGCATTGTCAGTTATCGTGTTATACAGGGGCAGACTAAAAGTTGTGATAAAGTTTAAGTTTTGTTATGATAAGCATTTGGTTCGACACTTTTAGATGGTTTTGATTATGATTGCCTAATTCTAATTTCGATGAATTATCACGTATAAGAACTAACCTAATATGAGATGTCAGCAACGAATCGTTATTTTTTACAATATATAGATTTATTGCTGTGAGATATGTACTTTGCCTTCGACATTGCCAACAAATTAGTCAGTAAAAAAAATCATATATCAAACATACCAGATAGCATACATGTGTCCATTAAATGATTCAGTATTTCTTCTTAATTACAAATACCTCGAATAAGCAAACTGTGGTATACACAGCTTCGATCACGTGACCGCATCCGGGTTGCGGTAAATGCGGCGGGGCAAAGGTTGTGCAGACATACTTGAGCATTGTTAACTTTTCTCAGCGACGGCTTCTTGTGTACGTATTACATGTGGCGGAAATGGCTAGCAAAGGTTTGCTTGACTACAGATAGTCATTGGATGTTGTTTCTAGAAGGAGATACGATGAAATGTGTGCGTTGATTGACAAAATTGATCCATATCAACTTGACAAGACGAAATGGAACAAAGACATTAATTTTTGGGCAGGTGTGACGTGCGCAGACATTTGTATGTATTTTGTGAACTTCACGAGTGCTTACACTGTAGAAGAGCTGAAATGCTACAAAGGATTGAATGCATACAATCAATTCATCAGCGGCTGGGTGGTCAAGGCTTTGTTATTAAATTTGTTTACAAACCATATGAGCCAATTGCTCTGAATAATTTTGGGCTACCGCAAATGGTACACTAAACACCACATTATACATGGAGCCAATTCTCCACATATACTCAATATACAATGTTCATTTAAACCAATAAACTCAAATTAATAATTGAATCATCCAAATGTACCATTTAACTTTTTATATTCCTTTTGGTTACTGCAAAGT